TCAGCACAACACAAATATTACATAGTAATTAAGCACACTTAACAGCGGGCTGATAACAGCTACACCATGCCGTTTGTCAAAGCTTTGAGTCCAATCTGGATTTCACGAAAGTTAAAAAATCCAGTTTGTCATGCTGCTGCAACACTGAAAAATGAGAACAAATATTCTTTATTTGGGGGAAATTGTTTTTCTATGGCAGTCAGGAGTAAGACTGCTTGTCAGCCCAGTCCCAGAGGGCTGCTTTCTATCTGTTTCAGACTTGATTTTCTCAGACTTGGATTTTTTTTTTGGGATCCCATGACTTGCTGCTGTTTTTATGTGCTGCAAGGAAGGCAACAAAGCACATCTGGCTGCTTTAATGATATGATTTCCCATCATACTAAGCCACCTCCATTATGACCTCCCACAGAGACATGCTGGCTGCACTTAAGCATTAGGTGTAGGTGCGTGTGTGTCAGTCTGACTGTCTGTGTTTACGGTTGACGGTGTGTGTACATTACGCGCGTGTGTGTGTGTGTGTGTGTGTGTGCAGCGAGGGCAACACACTGCTGGTGATGGTAGCAGCGTGCCCTGAGGGCAGCTTTCTGTTCAGAATGCCTCGGAAAGAATCAGAAAGAAAGACAGAAAGAGACAAGGAGGGGTGTTGTTGCTATGGTGTGAAATGTATCCTTATCTATGTGAAGAGAAAACACATGCGGCTTGCTAATACCTTCCATTTGATTATATTACTTATTCACTGATGATCAATACTAAATAAAACCTTTCATGCTGGTCTTGAAGCTATAAAACGTTTGTGCAAAAGGATTGCAATTGCAGGGATAATAGTTAATGCATGTAGCTAAGAAACCAACACACACACACACACACACACACACACACACGGGGGCACTTGTGGTGACTCGAGGAATTAGAAGAGCGAGCTGAGCATGTTTGACCTTTGACTGCCTGAAATCCCTGATGTAAATTTAACTAATAGTTTGGGAGGGTGGTGCAGGAGCAAAAGTGGCTATCGACGAGGTCGATCGATGCCACCTGCTAACGACACCACCGCTCCAATTAGCGTAACCTCTAGCCGAGTCCAACACACACATGCACGCTAAAGGGGAATGCCCAGGAAACATACAGCACAACTGAAGGGGTAAAACAGGTAGTGTGGATCAATATGTGTTCCTGCACCGTCTGTATTCTCTCGCTTTGATCGGGAATAGTGGGCAGATATGACAGTCAGGAGTGAGAAATATGTGGAGCTACTGGTGGAGGTTGTTTTCGTGCTCCTGTAGGGGAACGGGGGGGGGGGGGTTGTCTGAAGGCCCTGCTAAAGAGGATGACTAACATGGCGTGGTTAGCGTTACACTCGTTCAAGTTATTCATTCCAGGAAAACTAACACCGGTCAGTGCTAAGCTACAAACACACACACGCTCTCTTCGCCTCTGTCTCACCCCCCCTCTTCTCTAACTCTAACACACACACACCGACTTCTAACATAAAGTTCTTATTTCTCAGAAGCTGCAGAGCCTTTAAGCTATCGGAAGTAATAAACTGGTCCAACTTTCAGGGCGAAGACACTGGTTCCTTTGCTGAAAATCTACTTTTTTATCAAACAGATCTGGCAACATTAAGAGGGAAGAAAACACACCTCGAGGCTACACACTCCTCAGGACGTCGATGTAGACAGAAGGGTGGGGTGGTGGGGGTAAGGGGTGGGGGGGGGGGCACATAAATCTCAGCATGCTGATTATTTAGAGGGGAGAATATCACATAACAGAATCGTCAAGTAAGAGCACAAAGGTCGCTGTGTAATCTTAGCCACCCCGGGCATGCAAAATCATTAATCCCCGGGCACGGTGATTCTCCAGCTCGGAAATAAACTGCAGGCCTTCAGCGAGGCGGCTACAGCCCCGAGTTGGGAGGACGATCCTCAGCCAAAAAAGTACGAGGAGACCCTGTTATGATGTGCTGCTGATTTACTAGCAGGGCTGCAACACATTGCAAAAGTGTAATAATTCAGGGTTTTTTAAAGAAATACGGTGCCTGGGATTACTTCGTAGTGCTGATACATCAAGTGGTTAAAACAGGCCTGAGCTGTGTCATTAATATAAAACATAAATCTTGCAACAATTCCAAACTCCTGGGGAAACTTTAAGAAAATGCGCCGCTTTTTTAAAACAGAAATTTAGCTCGGGAATTAAAAAGGGAATGACATCAAAACAAAGGGGAATTAAAAAAAAGGGAAAGGTGCTGGTATGGCTCGCCTAATGCAAGGTTATAAGAGCGGTGGAGGTGGCGGTGGGGGGATGTGGGTGGAGGTGGCGAGGCTTACCGAGGTCATTAACTGGCATTGTCTCCTGACGTGATTAGTCAGGTAGCAAAGTCCATTTGTCACCTGCACAGGCAAATTGAGTTGGTGCTGCACTAGGGGCTATGGGGACTGTATAATATCAACTTGATTACATCAAGGCAGCTGCGGACTTGACACCTTACTGAATTTGTCAGCATTAATCGTTAGGGCCTGTCACAAATCCATCAGCTGCACAGATAATTAGGGCTCTCTCTAATGAAGCCAACGGGAAGCAACCTTACCCTCAACCCCCCCTCTACACACACCATATACCCATGCACACACACACACGGTCTTTCTTATAATTAACCATCGTACTCCGCAGAAGTAAGAGCGCCTATCTTATCTCCTCTTCCTCCTCCTTACTCGTCTTCTTCCTCCTCTAAGACTATCTAAGCCTGCCTGGGATGAAAGACGGCGTCACTCCGTTATGTCTTTTGTATTGTTCCTGTCTTACTTCCTGCCCAACAGTAAGATTTCCCCTAAAAACAAATGTGCATTTTTGTATGACATTTAAAAAATTAAGGAGAAAATTATTTGTTTCTACAAGACATTGAAACAGATATCATAATAAGCTTCCTATAATTTAGATAAATTAAATGTGTACAACTCAAATAAAATTCGCAATTATGACTTTCGCTATTTCTGATGTTCTACTGCGAATTTGGCCTTGACATACTACAATAAAACTTTAGTCACAAATATTATATTCTCCCAAAAAAGGTACGAGGGGAGAATAAAAAAGAAACCTGTCAAGACAAGTCGGCTATTGTTGTTTTAATTGACTGAGCTCTGATTTCCATTCAATCCCACCATGCGCAATTTCCTCTCAGAGCAGCAGCACAGAGGGGAAGCCACAGGTCAGTACCAGCTCCCAGTGGAGCACCATGCAACCCAGTGTGTGTGGTGTGTGTGTGTGTGTGTGTGTGTGTGTGTGTGTGTGTGTGTGTGTGTGTGTGTGTGTGTGTGTGTGTGTGTGTGTGTGTGTGTGTGTGTGTGTGTGTGTGTGTTATTTGTTGCTACTGGGATCGGGGAGTGCAGGGTGTTATATCTGACCGACTGTCATGTTCATGGAAGAATGGAAAACATCCCGTCTGCCAAGCTGTGATTGACCATTACACCCCATGATGTGCATGGCACTCTGTGGACAGTGTAATGGATCAATGATGTGTGTTTGAGAAAAGAGTGTGTGTTTTGTGAGAGTAAAGGAGGGGTCACAGCCATGTCATGTTTGCATTGCTCCATCTACGTGCAGAGGCTAAAACAATGGACTTTTCCTGGGGGCTAATTCGCCAAAACAACAATGCACATTTTGAAAAATAAAATCTCTAAATATGAGGAATTTCTTTGAAAATAGAGGCCTGAAATCATGTGAATGGTGGTTTGCTAGAAAGGCAAGTTAGAAAGAAAGCACTCGACAGCGAGCACTGGTTGAATGCTCTCCATCCTACACTCTCGTCTCATCCTCCTCCTCCTCATCCTCACCACCACCACCACCACCAGCTCACTGCTTAAATAAAACCTGCTGAGTTCAAAGTCTTCGACGGCTGGCCCTCCTGTTCGACCCGCTTTGCACCTCATATTTCAAAATCTCTTTAAAATTCTGTAACTGTCTTTTGTTCACTCCAGTTGTTAATGCCTAACTTCAAAGGCTCGGCCTCATTAGCACAGAGGTAGAAACCCCTGTCACTCATTTACATTTGTTTAAAGGCTGCAGGGGGAGACGAGAGGGGAAAAAGGGGGGAGTCCAAATCCAAACCACTAGAAGTCAACCTTGTCGGTTGTCTACCAAGACCTGGTTTTATCAGTTGGTCACATTGCAAACTCCCCTCCAGCAGTGGATATTGATTTCATTACTGGGCTGATTCTTACAGTGAATGTGGGCTGAATTTGGATTGGAACAACGTTTATCTCTATGAAAAAGAAAAAAGCACATGAAAAAAGTGTTTGGGTTGATTTTTCCTGTGATCTACTGAACACACACACCACCCTTTCATCTGCTGAAAGAGTTCCATCCCTCAAATTAAAACAAGCTGATTTAGCATCAAAATTCTCTAACTTTTTACGCGTTTTAGTTTCGCTTTGAGACAACAGGAGTGGTTGTGTGTACGAGAGTCTAAACCTTACCAGAGGCATGGCTGTCTTCATGGCAGGATTTATTGATGTTTATCAGGGATGAATAGATCAAAGACTGCCACATGACAGGCGATCAATCACGCATCAAATCAAGGATGGCAATCCTCTAATAAAACTGAAAGAAAGGGAAGGAAAAAAACCGGCTCTCACCAGATTTTCTCCCCCTTCTTTCCCAGTCAATTATTCATCATTACTCACTCTTGAACCTCAAAAGCTCCCTTTTATCCCCATAACATGCCATTTAGTTTATCTCATCATTCTTAAGAGAACTTTTACGGCAAAGGAGGATAACAAAATAATCTCAAAGTGGAAGATATTTGCGTAGTAAAGACACATTTTAAACACAGCTGTGGGTCAGGGGTCGAGTTGCGCGCTACGTGTTAATAACATAACACATTTAAACAGTTGTTAAATACATATCAGCATGCAACACAACTACCCGATGTGATAGGAAGGAGATAGTTTCATTTGATACTTGTAAATGAAAAGTAGTTGTGATGGGAAGAAATGAGAGGCGGGGTATACCTGCTGCTCGCCGCGGATCTTGCTGCTTTCTCCTCGGCATAGTGACCGTCACTTTCCACGGTGCTTCTCATGCAGGAATTACGAGCAAATCAAGTCTGTCAGTTCTGGAAAAGCATCCCGTTTTTCGGGGGTAGAGGTTTTGATCTCGGGATTGTCTTCTTCTTCTCAAACTGCGTGCTCTTTATTGGAAATAAAAGATGTGTTGTCTCGGACTTTAAGCACAACAATTACGAAGGGGTTCGGCCAGCTCCTGACACCTTCATGTCCATCAAAGATCATCTTCCTTCATGTTTCTCATGGCAAGAAAAAATAAAAAGCAGCAGCAGTAGTGAGAGCCCTAAAACACCAAGTTTTCAGCTCACTCCCCCCTGGAAAAATGACTAATCTCCAGTGCTGTTTGGAAGGGGGGCGATACTTTGCTGCGCCTTTTTACGCAACTAAAAAATAAATAAAGTCTGGCGGTATCAAAACAAATAAGTCCGGTGTGAGCGCAGCGCACAGCTCTGATAAGTGAAGTATCCTTGTGTTTCCTTCTTATCGAGCCAGAGACCTGCAAGACAGAAAGGGGGAGAGGAGAAAACAGACAGACAGGCATTAGATGGGTTAATGTCAGTCCCGTCACCACCACGCCACCTCAGCCCGGATCCAGCCTCCCCAGTCCGGCGGACACTTTTTCCTCCCTCCCCTCATTCCCCCTTTCTCTCCCATTGAAACAAAAAATAAATGGCACGATGTGGATTTCTCTCTTACTTACCGTTTTTTTTCAAGAGTAGTGGAAATAATTCCCACCGTTCATCTCATCGCATCTTGGAAGAGGTTTTTTTTTTTTGGGCTGATGCGGTGGAGAGGACTTGAGAGAGAGGGGCAACAAACAAGACGCATCCAAAGCTTCGCCAACAACAGATCAGGTCGACATGGACTACAATGTGTCTCTTTGAAAAAAGCAACACATATAATAAGAGAGGGGAGGGAAAAACTCCAAGGGTCTGATCCGAGGTCTTCCAAAAGAGATAAAAATGGAAACGCGGTGGATCCAGAAGCTGTCTCAGACAGTCTCAACTGATAGACAGACGCATCGAGTGGCTTTTCCTGCTACATTTTTACTCCTCCCCTCTCCACAAGCGTCACCCCTGACAGAGGAGCCTACCTGTCAATCTTTTTAATTGTCTTGTTTCCCCCCCCCTCTCTCCCTCTTCCATTTTCTTCTAAAAGCTCCGACAAAAAGGGGGAAGGATTCTCTCGGAACTTATCCACTGAAACTTATTTGAACATGTGATCGCAAACCACAACAAGTAATGCGACTGTTAACAACTTAAATGTCACATTTAGTGTAACAACAGCGTGGCACTGACACTGCACGAGTCCGTCTCCCACTGAGGGGGTGGGACGAGGGTTCAATGGTCCAATATGTTGTAGTAATAGTTACATGGCTTTGACAGCGAGGGGATAGCAATCTAAATGAAACGTTCAGGAACACGCTGATAATACACACGCGTTGGTTACAGGTGTACATGTGGGAACAAAAATAGAATACAAATGCGTAATAACCCGCAGCGAAATTGCACAACACGTTATATTTAGCAGATTTGTGGATGTTTTAAAAAGATATCCGGTAGAATTGATTTCGTGGGAGGAAAAACATTTGAGGATATGTTACGAGGATTGATTTGTTTCACCTTACTAGGAAGTGAGTGTTGTGTCCGGGAAGGGGAGGGACTCCGACAACAAGTCTATGGCAGTGCTGTGCTGCTGCTGCTTCCAGGGCTGCACCAGAGCCACCATTTAACCCGAAATACTCAATTTAGAGATTATTGTTTTTGCATCGTGACGCTACACAGAATCGCTTCTTTTATTTCTGTTTTTACCCCGCGTTTTGCACCGCTTCGCCCGGCCCGGCCTGCACACAGAGCGGGGAGAACAGCCCACAGCGCTGGCTAATGGCAGCGGGGTTTATTGCTGCCGTAAAAAAAAGGAAAAATCAAGTTGCCCGTGAACTTTGTCACATTTCGGAGCCATGTCCACCCTGCTCCTCGTGAGGAACGGCAGAAGAGCGGTTTCGCTAACCGGCGTGGGTCGCAGAGGCACGGACGCACTTTCAGGAGTTCACCCTGTGGTGCGGCGCTCCATCATAGATCTGTCCTACTCCACACACTTCATGGATTTTCAAGGATCCTCCATACCGAGCAGCATGAAAAAGCTGGTCGTAAACAAGCTAAGTCCTAATTTTAGAGAGGCCGTTTCTACTCAAACCGTCGCGATCCCGACACCCGGGGACGCAGAGTTGCTCGTCAGAAATCGGTAAGTTGTTGTTTTTTTAGGGGGCAGATTTTCCCTCTCCCTGCGCGTTCAGAATAGCAATAAGTGACCCAAAGCGAGTCTATTAGTGGATCATTACGTGACGCCGATCTATCACATGGATTTTATTGAGAAGTTGTATAAAGCTTACCTTGATTTACTCATGTCCGGCACCTGCGAGCATCATCATCATCACAAGATGGCAAAATACGTGAGGAATAAGCAGTGTACTGTAATTCCAAGTTCCGCCCTCTCTGCATTTGTCTATCAATCCATCTCGGCATCTCTCCCTCCCTCTCTCTCCTTCTCTTTCTCCCTCTCTCTCTGTCCTCCTGTCTCTCTACGTCACCAAACTGCAAACAGAAAGTCACGGAGGGGGGGCTCAGACTGGCATCAGGAGATGGAGATGATGGAGAAGGGGATGCAGTGTTACATGGTGCGGGAATTGCAGCATAATTTCTCTCATTCGCAGCTGCAGCGGTGTACTCACCGTTAGGGGAGAGTAAAGCCACCTGGAGTCAGGATCAATGCCTCTTTCAGACACACTAACACACTGAATGATCATCGTATAAATTGGTATCGTATTAAAGTACGCTTAAGGTGGAAAAAACCTTAAATTAATTTAAAAAGCAGGATTTCTGATTCCAGCCGGAGGTAATATTCCAACCTAATTTTGATGTACTACTACTGTATGTATGCCTGATCGGATTTTGAATGTTATTCAAGCCTTACATAAATGCACCTCAGGGTTTATTATGGTATTTACTGCCAATACAATTTACAATTCCTATCAGATTTTGTGTAAAACATAGCACATTAGTGTCTTATTTACTCACAAGACAGATATTAGTGAAGACCTTTGACCGTTAGGTTTTCTGTATTTGTATGTGAAGACAGAAATGGGATCAGTTAAGAGGTTTTTATTAACAGAAAATAAATGTTTCTGTAATTGGATTAGTGCTAATTCAAAACTACTTATTCCATAGTGCACAGCATCAGTGCATCCTAATTAAAAATTGCAAAGAGAAGTGTTAAGCGACAAATTTCAGAGTGAGAAAAATAAAAAGATCATGACTGCAGTTAAGAGGCAGATATATTTACAAGGACAAAATTAAAACAATATACTTGATTTTAAAATGTTACAGATAATATAATTGAAGCAGGTCTTTTCAACATACTGTAATTTCTCAAGTCCCTATTTTCGAGTTCTCCGTACCTCTGTGCATGCTTTTTAAGTACAACTTGTATGTAGTCAAAGATATGTATACTAACACATACTCTGCGTATAAGACAGAAGTAGCATCAAACTGCATGATGTGCTTTTATGATGTTATTCAAAGTGGACTGTCATATGTCCAAAATTCTACATTCTATATGCATTATTTTTGATAAGACTGCAGTCAAAATTATACATTTACATGAATTTAGTTGTCGGTTTTGCTATGAATAAAACCTATAGGCCTTGAAATCATACATTGTCTTTAGTTTCTTTTCAAAATGTGCATCAATAACAGCTAAACTGTTATTAAAATGTTACTGTAATAAGTCTTGGGGTGTTTAAGTTACCTTTACATAATATCATTTGCCATGTTGTTGCTCTTAGACTTATTCAAAGGTTTGTGTGAACAGACTGTATCGCCACAAATATCAGCTGTTTTAATCTCTTACAATTTCAAATTCTGTATACCTTTTGATGCTAACATAATATTTCCCTGTGAAGAATCTAATTGTATAGATGTAAACTAGTCAAATCAAGGAGTTTTGTTATATCACTGTGACCCGTCTTTAAAACCACAGAAGCATTATCTAAAGCTCAAAGTACACGTGTGACACGCACAGTAATGAGGCACAGCATGCGTCCCGCTCTAAAGGACATAAATGATTTATTTATACCTTACTACTTCCTCACATATTTGTTCCCAACAAGTAAGATGAGTACGGCCGTCTTTGTGTCGAGAAGCAAGAAGCAACTATCTAAGATTTTTAAAAGTGTAGTTTTGTTGTGGGTTTCTCTGAAGACAATGAATCATGACATCATGCAATGTGTTTTGTGATACAAGCCTCTCCCTGTCAGTGTAGGACCGTGCTCTTCCAGAGAAAAGGGAATCATTGCCAAAACAAACCAGAGTGTTTGTGCCCCGTACAGACATGTCTGGAGAAGGAAGCTGAAATCTTGACCTTCAGACAGAATTCTGGGAATATGCACTAATGACCACCGAAAGCTTTTGTTTTGTGAATGTATGCATATCGTTCACAACTGTATTTGTTTTATTTCTCTCACATTTCATAATAATGCTTTTTTTTCTCTGTTTCTCAGTTTTGCTGGAGTGAACGCCTCTGATATTAATTACACAGCAGGCCGTTACGACCCCTCTGTGAAGCCCCCCTTCGATGCCGGTTTCGAGGGTATCGGTGAGGTTGTTGGCCTCGGCCTTAGCGCCAGCTCCAGTTACACCGTCGGGGACACCGTGGCCTACTTTGGCAGCGGTGCCTTTGCAGAGTACACGGTGGTGCCAGCCAAGGAGAGTGTTCCCGTCCCTGCGGTGAAGCCAGAGTTCCTCACCCTGCTGGTCAGCGGTGCCACGGCCTACATCGCCCTGAAACGCCTGGGCGACCTTACCAAAGGTGAGACGGTTCTAGTCACGGCGGCTGCAGGAGGAACTGGGCAGTTCGCCGTGCAGTTTGCCAAACAGGCCGGTTGCCATGTGATCGGGACGTGTTCAACCAACGAGAAAGCCGGCTTCCTGAAGTCCATCGGCTGCGACCGTCCGATCAACTACACCCAAGAAGACCTGGCGAAGACGCTGAGGAAAGAGTACCCACAAGGCGTAGACGTGGTGTACGAGTCCGTTGGAGGAAGCGTCTTAGAACTGGCAGTGAACAGTTTGGCCACCAAGGGCCGGCTCATAGTGATCGGCTTCATCTCGGGGTACCAGACGGCATCAGGGATCCCACACTTCAAAGGGGGAACGCTTCCGGTCAAGCTGCTCCAGAAGTCGGCCAGCATTCGGGGTTTCTTCCTGCCCCACTTCCTCAGCGACTACAAAGAGGCTCTGGGTAGCATGATGAAGATGATTGCCAAGGGGAAGCTAGTGTGTGAGGTGGATTGTGGTGATATGTCGGAGGAGGGGAGGTTCGTCGGGTTGGAGTCTGTGTTCCGAGCCGTGGAATACATGTATGCGGGGAAAAACTTGGGCAAGGTCGTGGTGGAAGTGGCACCACCACCTGTTAGCAATAGCAAGCTGTGATTAAAACTAATCGTTTATGCACTAAAAAATCATACTTGAAACAAATTATTGTTGGGTGGGAAAATGTAGGGCTTTAATTGTGTTGAAAAGAGAATATTGTCTTTATTCTTGTTACATGATTGACACTGTAAATCTACAGTTATTTTGCTTTCACCAAAAAAAATAGCAACTTTATTTTCTGCTATCATTGTTTTGAAAGATTTGTTTGCAGTATTTGAACCTGATTACATTATTAAACAAAAATATTAACTGATAACTGATGATCATATTGTATAATTATCCTGATAAAAAATCTGAAACGGTAGCCTCTCATTTTTTACAGCGTTTCTCAATCTTGTGAGCCCACCTTCTGGTTCAAGTCCACCTTTGAAATTAATTTAGACCAGCTGCCATAATGTGCTCTCTTTTTCGCACTCTCAGGCACTTTATCTACCATAAATGTTTTATGATAGACTTCATTGTTTTTCTAATAGGGGCTTACAATGGTATGTGCTTGTCAAAAGTGAGTGCTGATCCAGGTGTGCTTGGTATTTCATCGCCTGTTTGTGGCTGACAGAAACGGCATTCGCACAATCAATCTTTTCATTCACATGCCCCGAAGCTGCACATAATATAAAAAAATTAGTCCAGATAAACCAGGAGTTGGACTTGAAAATGCCATTACTTTTCCCACTGCGAGTAAAAAAAACACATATAATGAATGTATTGTGGAATGCCCTTTGACATAGTTTTCCATTTTTTGTATTTCGTTTTGTTTTCGAAACAAGAAACAAAGCAACACAACAGATGTTAGTAAGTTTAGTCACATGGCAGATCATTCCTACATGAACTCAAAGACTTTCACTCATTGTGAAAAGATAACACTTAGAAGATAAGTGTTTTGCAACTTTAAGAGTACAATAGGTGTCCAAGGTTCCTCAAAAAGCAAGAATAGTGTATGTTAAAGCAGGCCGTGCTGTGTTTATGTGCAGAATGTGGTGTAAAACAAACACCTGTTCCTACCTGGCAGGGAGGGCTGTAGTGTCCATGCACTGTGAACATGTTATTTCCTCATCCAGGTGGCCACTCAAAATATAACCCAGTGTGAAATGCGTTACAGGTGTGACCCCAGCATGCAAAGCTGCTCCTTCACGGGACAGAGCAGGAAATCAGAAACACACTAGGCCAAGGCAGATTTACATTCGTAGTGTAGGAATCCAGAAAAACACGGATAGTCTTTGAAAAAGACACCAGTCACTTTTAGATTTACGTACAGTGAGTCCTGATGTTTTGCTGACTTTACAATACATTGTTTTATTTTTTATTAAGTGTAGATTTTGAAATTATGACTTTAACACATATACAAAAAAATAATTATTGTGCGAAAGAACCTATAGACATTATCTTTCTCTCCTATTATTATATTTTATTTCCTTTTCCTTTCAAATCTTTCAAGCCTGCTTATGTTCACTAAATGTCTTGTTAGAAAGTATGTTTTATTGGATCTAATACTGTTATTGTCTATCATTACACTATGGAGGATTATTAGGAAAGGGCAGAGGAGAAAAAAAGGCAGGGTGAAGAATATTTGTAATTTATTTGCAATTCTAGACATTGGGACCAAATTCAGAGAATAAACAATAGACAATAATAAACCTGGAAGTTTTTTGTTTTTTTTGCATTTTAAGAATACAGTTTAAGTTTCCGTTTATGTGGCGGGCATTAGAAGAAAAAAACTAGAGTGAACATTCTTTTGATTTTATATATTTTTTTGTATTTTATCAATAAAGTCAAAATGTCAGGAATAAACTCGAAAAAGTGAGATGATGTTTGAACATTTGAAAATGAAGCCAACTGCTGGCTTTAGTGCATATACTGACATTTCAACCTGATTCTCAACATTTCGACTTTAGTCGAGAATACAAAAATGTCCTCCTCCAATTTTTCCCTTAGGCCCTGATACACTGGGGTTTTGAATTCTCCAAGAGGTCACGTCTTTATTTAAATGAGGCTTTCTTTGTCTTTACTGAAGGCTACATCATGCACACACCCACACACCTTTAGCCTGAATTAAATTAATAGTATTACATAAAGAGATTAAACTAACACTGTGAAATGCATTAGGTCCATATCAACAGCAACTAATTGTTAAATTATTGCCGTCACCTCTGCAGCACCGCTGTTTGGTCAGGCGTTATGATGCGAAAGCAAGCTGGTACACGCAAGGTGAGAGAGGTGACGATGCACATGTGTGTTTAGATGAAGTTGCTGGAGCGCCGTGTGCATCCATGTTTGCACGGCGAGAAGGAGGCCAGGTTTAGCATCTCTTCAATTAACAGTAGAGGCCTCGTCTGGGCGTCCTCCAGGGCCTACCTGTACCTCCGCTGATTAGTGAGCAGTCACAGCCCCAATTAGAGAACACAGGAACCTGGAGAGACAACACTCTTTATTTAATTGGATTGTGTTGCAGGCGGAGGCTGCTAACTGGCAACGTATTGAAGCAACCTGGAACTGCAGAGCGTAAACAACACAGTAAAGATAGAGAAACGCTCACAGACTTCTTTTTGTGTGATGGTGAAACTTTGGAAACATTTGAGGAATTATGCTAAGTGCCTGTTTTATTTTAGTCAAGGGTTACTGCAGTACTTCCCCTCAGAAAGGGTCATTCACACAGCAGTTTAATTTAAATATTTCTGCACATGGAAGTAATGGAGGGTAAACCAAATGTACCCTTTTTAACACAAATGTAGGAGTATGGATTATACCAAGTATCAACCAATACATCCACAATTTTTCTTAATTTATTTTCATTTGTGTGTATGCCTTAATTGCTTTGTGAATAGCTTTTTTATTGTAAATGTAATTTATGAATTACAGTAGTGTTGGTTTTCTAAGAGGTGCTGATATCAGCATAGGTGTACCGTAATGTCAAATAATGTCACTTTTGAAAGAAGAAATACCAAAGATGTTCCTGATGAAAATGTAAAGACTAATTAATAAGAATAAAATCACACCCTAGTTCAAATAAAAAAAGTAGATTTCAACACACTCAGGGGTTTTGCTACTTTGGTACTACTTGCACTAGTATTCCCAGCACACCAGTAGTTTAGGCTAGCTAATTGAGACTAAACATGGGTATTCCTTTCAGCACAATAAAATATTGCATCAATTCTTTGGACAACAATACGATCATTTCTGATAACACAAAGTCTGCCACGCTATGATTTTGATTAAATTCAAGGCCCTTCAAACGTTATGAAACAATATGATATGCCTAATGGTGACACAGACGTGCCACGGGAATATCAACATGAGTCCTGAAGATGATTATATGTCTACACTAAGCATTGATGATTGTGGATCTTGATTGAATCATTGCCAGAATGGACGCTGCTCAGCATAGGCTACACATCCTACAACTTCTTGAAATCACAACTTTTTGTAGCTTCCAATCCATTTTCAGAGCTGTTTTTTTTATTGCAAATTCATTGTAGTGAAATTCTCAAAGGTGCCTTTCTTCGTTTTTTTTGCACTGAACCCTCTTTTTTCCCACAGTTTCCCTTCACCGGAACATGTGGCACATAACAGAGACATCACCCTCTCATTGTGCGATGGTAGTCTACCTCCAGGCGCCTGAGGGACACTGGCTGGCTGCTTGGTGCTGCCAGGATCCAGACAGTCCAGTTTCTCTCCGTGCAAAGTCAGTCAGACCCCCTTCAACTCCCTAACTCCCCGAGCCCCCGTCACTCCTACCTCCCGCCTAATTACCAAACCTAAAACCCCACTCGACTAATTAGCCACAGCAGACCCAGGAACTGTGAGTAAAGGTAAAGAGATGGCTTCATTCAACAGCCTGTGTGTGTGTGTGTGTGTGTGTGTGTGTGTGTGTGTGTGTGTGTGTGTGTGTGTGTGTGTGTGTTAAAGAGTGAAAGAAAGAAGACAAGAAGAAAGGGAAATGGAATATTCAAACCTCCTTTAGCCAGCACATCTCTACAGCCAATTAAAGTCATTTATTAAACTATTTGCAAAACCTGAGACGTGCATGACAGAATGATAGGGGAATGTGTTTGTTTGTGGCCGTGCATGTGTTTCTGGATGTGTGTGTTGTTTTCGCACGCACACACACGTCCACATGTGTCTCAGTATGGCTGGCAATCTGTCGGCTTCTCTGTCTATCAGCGGCGCGAGAGCTCAGTGGGACATAAATTACAATATGCAAGCAGAGCCACTTGTGTAAGTCTCAATGAAGGGGAGGAATAACTTTCTTAATCAAGTTCCCCTGATTAATTGTAATAAAGGTGTCATCCGTAAATGTGTCCTCCTGATTGAGTAATTCAGGGCCGGAGACAGTAAGCACATCCCTGGGTGATTGGGGAGGGGGGGTTGTTGGACAGAGTGGGGGGGGGGGGGGGGGGGGGGGGGGGGAGGTGTGTGGAGGACATACTGAGACACAAATAGCTCCTGGGCACACTGGCAGCCTTCGCACAACTGACAGTTATGAAATACAATTATCGCTGTGATCTGCTTAAGAATTCATCAGCGGCTTCAGCGGCCAGTAAAGACGTTCATAGAGAGACGGGGGGAGGGGGGGGGGGGGGACACACACACGAGAGGAGAGGAGGCCTCACTGATTAAATGACATTTTTATTTTGTCCAGCAGACTGTCCGCATGACGTTTCACTGTTTGTTGTGAGAGGATGATCTTTTTCTTACTGTAAGTACACTGTTGGTCAATGTTATCCATCAGTCAGTACACTACCTGTTAAGAAAAGGTCTTTATGATTTGTTGCAGTGACTCAGTGCTTTGATGATTTGTAGGTCAAAAGGTGTAGTTTAGGAGCTCAGAGGAAGCTGAATGTTGTATAAATGTAGTTTTCAAATTCAGCGTTATGTGGCCCTTCAAAAAATGCAATACTGTCTAATCATTTTGATCAAAATCTAAAGTTTTCTTTTGGGATAATTTCATTAACATAATCTTTAGAGAACCGAAGGGATTGAATTACCTATATTCAAAACAAATAACTGTTATAATTGACAGTTATACTGTACAAGCATCTGCTGAGGAAGACTGAGCGCAACAAAAAATAGTAAGTAGACCTTAAAGAAAAGAAGTTTTTTCTTTGTAAAAAATGTTTTGAGGAGATATGTTTTAATTTCTTAATTTAAAAATCATAAAAAGACTTCTGACCCCCTATCCAACTTAACGTTGGTTCTGTGTTGGGAACGGCTGGTCTTGGTTTCTCATTACAGATGTTTCAATGTTTTCAAAAAACCATTCTAAATACAAGGACACTCAGAGAGCGCAGGCCATTTCCACAAGTGAAAAATAATGTGTGTATCTGCCCAGGAATCCTGCTAAAAAAGAAAAACACAAAAGCAAACAACCTCCTTAGCGGAGTTAAAACAATGTAGATATTTAGGTACTATGAAAACAGTGGTTATATGTAACCTACACCTAGACAGTCTGACTTATCAACAAAGTGTGACCTGGTTAAACCACAGAACACATAGAGGCATGTAGATCATCCATTGTTACTGCCTATACATGATCATTTGCAGGTATGTTGCCAACTTCAAGAGCAAAACAATTTCAAAAGCACGATTTACCAGCATGCTGATAAGAAATAAAAATGATATTATAACATATTGTATTAACCTCTATCAATGCAGTACAATAAAACTTTATTCTAGCTCGCTGC